TTAATTGACGATAACATTGACCAGTTGAAAGATAAAAAATATTTTATAATGTTAGATTTGAAAGACGGCTTTCACCATGTAAAGATGAGCGAAGATTCCGTAAAATATACGTCATTTGTCACACCAATGGGATAGTTTGAGTACTTAAGAATGCCCTTTGGTCTGACAAATGCACCACGCGTGTTTCAGCGATATGTGTTGGCGATTTTCGATGCATTAATTCGGGGGAATAGGATTCTGTTGTATTTGGATGATATTTTAATAGCGACACGTGACCTTGAACATTTGGAATTTTTGAGAGAAGTTTTTGATTTGGCGGGTAGACATCATTTGCGATTTCGATTGGATAAATGTCATTTTGTTTAAACAGAAATTAATTATCTTGGGTATCAAGTAAGTGAGAAGGGCATTCGACCGAGCATAGAAAACATTGAAGCGGTATCAGATTATCCTATACCAAGAAACACTAAGCAGGTTCATCGATTCGTAGGTCTTGCCAGTTATTTCCGACGTTTTATAGGCGGTTTTTCAGTGCTTGCTAAGCCATTGTACGATTTGCTTAGAAAAGATGCAAAGTTTGAATTTGGTCAAAAAGAGTTGGAAGCATTTGAAACGATTAGAGATCTTTTGTCATCGAGACCGTTATTGGCAATTTATTCTCCTGACGCGGCTACAGAATTACACTGCGACGCCTCTGCTACGGGGTTCGGTGCTATTTTATTACAGCGACAGAATGACAATACGTGGAAACCGGTAATGTTTTTCAGCCAACGTACGTCACCTGTCGAGTCGCGATATCATAGTCTTGAGTTGGAGTACCTCGCGGTCGTGTATGCTATTAAGCGATTTCGAATTTATCTAACGGGAATCAAATTTAAAATAATTACCGATTGCGATAGTTTTCGTTTGACTTTGGGAAAAAGAAATGTAAATCCTCGAATATCTCGATGGGCATTGTTCCTTGAAGATTACGATTATGATATTGTGCACCGGCCTGGCAATAAAATGAGTCATGTTGACGCTTTAAGCCGTTGTAAAGGTATTAATGTAATAGAGGCAAATACTTTCGACGAAACTTTGTCAATACATCAGAATCTCGATGAGGAGATCCGTGGAATTAGGGACCAATTAGAAAAAATTGGACAAGTGCGAGTTCAACTCGCACTGCAATGGCGGGTTCCGTACACAAATATTAAAACAATACTTGCAACATTTATCGGTAATTGGTAGAATTAAAATAAACAATTAAAAAAATATATTAATATCATTTGATAAAAAAAATAAATAAAAAAATTAAAGTATTGTATATATCTAATATTGTAAACAATAATAAGTAGAGGAACAAAATTTTTTGCTGTTTTTATTGTTTTATTTTTAAAGTTTTGTAAAAAATTTTTAAAAAATGTAAAAAAAAATTTTTTTGTTAAAAAATCTAAAAAAAAAATTTTTTTAATTTTTTTTTTTAGATTTTTAAATATATTTTTTGTGATCAGACTGTAAAAATAGACTAATAAACCCATTTTTAGTTAATTATATCAAATAATGTAGAAATTAGAAAAAAAAAATTTTCAAAATTTTTTGTAGTTTTTCCTTGATAACGCTATGGACATTAATACATAGCAAGTTCTCTATATTTTTCCTGTAATATTCACGATAAAATACACCAGTATGTTAAATTTTAGCCCTCCATGTTGAATAGTTTAGAAGTTAAGGGGGGGGAATGGTCACTTTTTATGCATTTTTGGCCAAAAATCTTGTTATTTCCTTGACAACGCTATGACCATCATCTCCAAACACATTCTCTATATTTTTCCTGTAATCTACGTGTGAAAATACATATCTGTACCAAATTTGAGCTCTCTAGGTCAAATAGTTTAGCCGCTAGGGGGGGACACGATTTGGCTACGGACAACAGAGTCTCACCAATAGGGTTCCGCCGATACACCGTAGGTGTACGGAAGCCTAAAAACGGAATTGAAATTTTTTGACCTCCGGGACGGTTTGGTTTACAGAAAGGATAAGAATAAAAAACTATTATTTTATGTTCCGTCGTCTATGGAAAGTAATGTGATTCGAACATGCCATGATGACCTTGGTCATCTGGGAGTTGAAAAAATAGTTCAAAGTGTCTCTAAGGTCTACTGGTTTCCTCAAATGCGTGAGAAGATAAAAAATTATGTTGCAAATTGTTTAAAGTGTATTCAATTTTCGCCATTGAGTGGAAAACGAGAGGGTTTTTTGCATAATATTTCCAAGGGACAAGTACCTTTTGATACGCTACACATTGATCACTGTGGTCCCTTAGAAAAAACAGGAAAAGGGTATAAGCATTTATTTGTTATCGTCGATGCGTTTTCAAAATTTATTAAAATCTATCCTAACAAATCCACAAGTTCTAGCGAAGTTGAATGTTGTTTGAGAGAGTATTTTCGCCACTATAGTAAGCCGAAACGAATAGTATCCGACAGAGGAACCGCGTTTACTTCTGATTCATTTAAAGAATTTTTGAGTAATGAAACAGTTGAGCATATTCTCACTGCAGTGAGCACACCACGTGCCAATGGGTAGGTGGAAAGGTTCAACAAAGTAATAACTCCTATGCTCGCGAAATTATGTGATTGTCCAAGTAAATGGGATAAAGTGTTAAATCAGGTTGAATTTGCTTTGAACAATTCTGTTTGTCGATCGACAGGAGAAACCCCTAGTCGTTTACTATTCGGTATCAATCAGAGAGATAAGATAAATGATAATATAAGATTAATTTTGGAAGATTTTATCGACAATGAACGCAACCTCGAGGAAATGCGTGCAAAGGCAGCAGTAAATATTGAGCGAAATCAGGAGAAAAATAAAATGTGTTATGATAGAAAGCGTAAAGATGTAAGATTGTACAATGTTGGCGATTATGTTATGATAATGAATAGAGACACGTCACAAGGTGTCAACAAAAAGCTGCTACCAAAATGGAAAGGTCCGTACGTCATTCGAGAAATTTTAGATTACGATAGATTTGTAGTAAGCGATATTGATAACCACCAGGTGACACAGAAGCCTTATACGGGCGTGGTTGCACCAGACCAGATGATTCCCTATGGAAACAACAAATTTTGAATGTGTATTTGTTTTGTATAATTTAATTAAAATGTGTATTTTTGACGTAATTTATTTATGGAACTGCGACTCGAGATTTTTTTTTAACATTTTATTTGTCAAAGTCTATGTGATTATGAACCTAATTGTTTTAATGAAATTATTGAATTTTAACTCGACATTATTATTAAAATATTGACTTTGTATTTTCTCTGAAATTGGTTGGCTCTTTAAGTTGTGTCGCCGGGACGGCTCTATGTCAGGACGGCCGAACTGTAGTGTATGAAGTATGATCATATGGCTGTGTGCGTGTGTATCAGTAGAATAAAGGCAATGTGGAAGATCCTCTGCGAGTGCGTAGAGAATCTTCCACAATAATGCTAATTTGTAATTTCGTGATTGGCGAAAGATAATTTCCCGCCTAAGGGGCCGTCCATAAATTACGTAACACGTTTAGGGGGGAGGGGGGGTTCGAGAAAATGTTATCATATGTTACATGGGAGGGGGGGGGGGTCAATCATCATTGTTACGTAATATTTATAAGGAATTTAATCTCTTTATAATCGATAAATTTTTGAAAAGCTGTCCCTTGCCGCCACTTCAATATAAGTAAAAATCGAATCATTTCGCGAATCGATTCTTGGGAATCGATTATATCGATACTATTTCAGCTGTTTCAAAATCATCTGTTCGCATCTGTCATGATTTTGTACTTCTTTAGTTTTGTTAGTGATTAGTAATGAATTAAAAAACTAGTGTCATATTTTTTCTTTAATTACAAAATAAAACCTGATATTGGTAATATCTATCAGCGATTATTTGATGCTTATAAGAAATCGCATTCAACCAAGTCTGCTGGTAAAGCACAGGAAGAAGTCGTTATTATTTGGAAAGACCTAAAAGACAAATATAAGTTACAAGACGATTTGGTCAAAAAAGCCGAAGAATTAATATCAGATTATTTAAATTTGTCACAGAAGAACAAATGTAATAATATCTTAAAGTTTTTTACTACGGTAAGTTTTTTTTATACATTACGAACATAACCTATAAACTGTCAATAAAAATGTGTCGGTAAATGATTTGAAACTTCTAATAGTTTAAATAGAATAAATTATTTTTGTTTTAAATTATAATATGCAAGCTGAATTATTAATCGTTGACTATTTATGTGCATTTAACTATTATTCGAATATTTGTTGTAGCAAACATCTAAATCTTCAGCGTTAGCAAATCAAAGTCAACCAAGTTCATCGGCATCTAATGTAGAGTCCCTTACCGTATCAAGCTTGTCACCAATTTTAACAGAATCTTCAGATCATTTAAAATCTATTTCACGTGAAGACGGTAAATTATACGATGAAGAAATTAGCGAAGCATCACACTTGTCGACAAGTAAGAATAACGATTTCTTTGTTTATTGCTTTGGTATCCAATTTAAATTGCCTTGTAATATTATTTTCTTGTAAAGATTCCTAAAGTTACCATCGATGCTCAGCATCGAAATATATATTTTTTATACAAATCTGAAAAAATAAACCACTCAATTTTTCCTAAGATTTAAGGTTAAAAAATTCTCTTAAATAATTTTTTACTTCCTAAAAAGTAAAAGAAGTGAAAATAGTTAAAATTTTATCATTAAAAATAAAAAAATAGTTAATAATTCCAACTTTAGGAACCTTTTTGCAATATAATTTTTTAAACGTTAAATATTAAAAATAATTAAAAATTAAGCTTTTAAATTATTGTTGAACATTATAAATAAATAGATTTTGAAACTTAGTTGAAAATATAATATTTCTGACAGTTTGCAAAAATTCTTTATGTTAAAATACTGTTTAATAATTCTATTAATACTAATTACCAAAAATGATTAAAATCTATTTAAATTTTATTTTCAAATTTATTTACAAAAGGTAAAAAAAGAAAAATAGAGGTATTGGACATTACAAATGATGAAGAAGATTTAGAACATGCAGTTATTGCACTTACTCCCAAGCGTGACACTCCAGCTCAAACTGCTCAAATTTCAAAAATCCATGTACTAGAATCAGAACTTAATTCTGCCGTAACTAGACGAGATGCAGGTCTTGGAGATAATTTAACAGAACAAAGAATAAAAAAGTTACGTGAAACTTTGGAATGTGAAAATAAAACATTGGATAAATTAAAACGAAACGCTGATAGACAAAAAGAATTCAGACAAACACGAAAAAAAAATCTTGATAAACTTCAGAAGAATGATAAAAATATTGCAAAATTATTAGGAATTCGAGATGAACCTGGACGACCCAGACTAGAAACAGAGCAACCTGAACTTTTAAATGCAATAACGCAAATTGCGTTACATGGTGGCTCTGCGGATTCTCTTCGTCGATCAGAAACAATAAGAACGTGCAAAACACTTAGTCAATTGCAGGCTCATCTTCTTGAAAAGGGAATAACAATATCTAGAAGTGCAACTTATTTGCGTTTATTGCCGAGAAATTCAGCTACGAATGAAGGGAAAAAGCATATTCAAACTGTGCCGGTTAAGCTTTCCCGTCCACAAACTGATCTACATAAAAGCCATGTAGATCAACATTTTTGCAAGGCCACAATAAATTGTATTGAAACATTAGCTTCAACGCTCAGTCCTGAAGAGGTATGATTTTTAAATTTAATTTAAGATTTAATTTTAATAAATAACTTTGAATTAATTTAAAGTCTTTTAATTTTTATAAAATAATAAAAATAATTTAAAATAAATTTAGGTTGCTTTTCTATCCCAAGACGATAAGGCTCGTGTACCTCTGGGGAAAACTGCAGCAAAATTGCAAGCTCCCATAATTATGCACCTCGAATATAGAGTACAACTCCCAGATCACGATTGGGTAGTCGCAGGTGGACATAAACTTATTCCTTCAGTCTACGCCGGGATTGTCATTAAAGATGGGCCAATAGGAAAAAAAACTAACGTCTCTTACTCGGGACCAACTTACATAGCAATAAGGAGTGCAAAGCACAACTCATCAACTGCCTCTACCCATGCGTTTGATCTGAAAAGATTATTAGAACTCGAAAGTTTCAATACGATAATGCGGAATAGTAATGGATCTATTAAACCGGTACTAATATTATCAGTAGATGGTGGGCCGGATGAAAATCCAAGGTACGTTTATGTATTAACAATTATTATATTTATTATTATTATTCTAAATTCTAAATTATTAAATTGTTACAAAATATTTGTAGATATGAAAAAGTGATAGCACATGCAATCAATCATTTTAAGGAATTTGATTTGGATGGTATTTTTATTTTCACAAATGCGCCAAACCGGAGCGCTTTCAACAGAGTTGAGCGGCGAATGGCTCCCTTAAGCAGAGAACTAACAGGTGTGATTTTGCCTCATGACAAGTTCGGAAAGCATTTGGGAGATAATGGTGAAACCATCGATTCTCAGCTCGAGCTAGAAAATTTTGAACATGCTGGGAATATCTTGAGCGATATATGGAGTAACACAAAAATAGATGGGTTTGAAGTGTTCGCTGAATATATTTCTCCATCATTAAATGAAAATTTAGAATCACCTGAAGTTCCAAGTCCAACATGGTATTGTAAACATGTTTTTGAAAGTCAATACTTTCTACAGGTAAATATTACCTGCATGTATGTAATGTATAAATATATATAGATGCATACATTAAAAAATAGATCATTTTTTACGCAGAATATTGACTTTTTGCAGATTATTAAATGTGATAATGTTAGCTGCTGCCAACCTCTTCGAAGCGACTTGAAGAAAGTATTAATCTTTGGACGACTTCCGCCGCCGATTCCTTTACTTCGAGATCAATCAGGACTTCGGATTCCATCACCTAATGAGGGAATATTAACCACATTTGCTAGTCTTTTACAACGACATTCGCTAGATCTAAAGCCAAATCACGATGGATTTCTGATTATGCCGTACGATATGTATTGTCCTTCTGTGCAATCTGATCTTCTCAATAGAACGTGTAAATATTGTGGATTTTACACAGCTACAAAGAAAAGTGCTCAAAAACACAAAAAATCTTTGCACCCTTACGGAGTACTTGAAACTTCTAGAATACGACCACTATGTGTAGTTGCTCGACGTGCTCGTGAAGCACTTTGTTATGTAACACATATTTCGGGCGAAGAAGCAGAATGGATTGACATCGAAGATATCGATGAACAATTCATAAATAATGAAACCGAGTCGTCACAAACAAGCAAAGAATTACCTATTCCAGTTGTTACCTCATTTGAAAATTGGTTGCAAAACCCATTTATCGAAGATTGTGATTATACAATTGAAGACAACATGCGTTATTAATTTAGGAGAGAAGATTATAGCTTTAAAGTTAAATCATTGCCAGTATTATTATGATTATAATTCAAACTATAATATCATATTTAAAAATAATTATTAATATAATTCTAATTGTTCGCTGTGATAAAGAATTACATATATTAATTATTTAAGAGAAGAAATTTATATATTTAAAGCTATAACAGTATTATTGATCATAAATAATATAAAATTATTGTTAAAAAATCAATGTTATATTTTTGGTTGCACAGTATGATTAATAAAATTATTCCTCTAAATGTTTTTTATATGTAACTTAATTTTGTATTGCTATTGTACGATATAAATACTAAAAATAACAGTAATAAACAAATTTGTTTCGAAAAACGTTAGTAAAAAAAATATTTTAAAAAATTACGTAACAATGATAGGGGGGGGGGTAAAATGATTTTGTTACAACTAAAAAACTACTGAACCCTATTTGTAGAAACATAAAAATAAGAAATATGCAATTATTTAAAGTTTTCCTTTAAGTTATGTTAAAAAAGTCGGTGGCTTAAAAGGTGGTCGATATATCGACCACTGGGACTGAAAGGGTTAATCAAATGATAATAACTTTATTCAAAAAAATCATACGACAATTTTTAAAAATGCACTTTAAAGTTGATAAAATAAGCTTTAAAATGCGTTATACATAATTATAATTTTTGATTACTTGTTAAAAAATTACATTTGTTTGAAATTGGCAAAAAAATTGAAAATTTTGTTTTTTCTAAACAGTAGGGGAAGTGCGCCGGTTGTGGGCACGCTCCGGTTGTGGGCACCCCTACGTAAACTTCGACGGCAAGCAGACTTTACTGATCTTAGTATTGCAAGTCGTGTTCGTTGACAATACGGACTTTTCGTATTGATAACGAAACAAATATATGCATTTGTGTAATAGCTGTGAGCATAATAAAGAAAATTTGCATTAAATTAATAAAAAAGTAATTTTGTATTGTTTTCAAAGAGCAACATATGGGTGTAGATTCGTTCAGAAAAAAAGGTTTAATTTTTTTTACAGTGTTGTCATTATATTTTGTGATTTACCTTCGTGTTTAACCAAAATCCTGCATCACAAAATGTGTTGGTCTTTTTAAAAAATGACTGTCATTCCCGGTTGTGGGCCCTTTTATGTTAAGGAGGCTCTACCATCTGACAATGATGTGGACTACTGTCTCATCTATCTAAACTTTCTGCCAAGGAATGTGACAGCCGCAAACTCCATTAAATGCGATGAATATAGTCGTTCAGTGCATTAGAAGTGCGTTATGGTTTGCGTACTAGCTACTTCACATGCAAGCATTATGCTTTTGTTAGCGATGAGCATAGTGTGAAAACGTGTCATCATTTTTGTTCTTTATCCCGGCAAAGTCTCTTAAAATAAAGAAACTTTCATTTCTTCTTTATTTGTGTTGGTTTCCTTTCATATTTTTCCATTTTTAGCAGATTTTTCAAGGGTGCCCACAACCGGATACAAAAATTTTTTTGTCAAAAAATTTCTATTTCACTAAATTTCTAATAAAACTTTTTTATTTAAAGGAATCAATTTAATTTCTTCACTGACAGTCACCTTAGACCTCTAGCTTTAAATTCGTACACATATATTTGTATAATATGCACATGGACAAATGTTATGAGGCAAAAACAAAAGGGTGCCGGAACACTTTCCTTAATTAAACAATAAATTTTTTTTTAATTTATTATTTAAATATTGTTAAAGTAGAAGATATAAGCTTTAGAATAAGACCTTACAAACCTCAATATCTTTACTAGAAATCAAAATATAAAACTTTTTGTAACACCTTTAACTGTGATAGAGTGGGCAAATCCTGTTAGGCGGCACTGTACGTTTATTTAAAAAATTAAACAATTGCTGAAATTGTAATTTAAAAAAACTATTTCTGGCATAGTTAAGTAATTTTAATTTTTAACTCTAATCTCAAATTTAAAAGAAATTTAAATTTAAATCTTCAAACCGAAAAAACGGTAATCTAATATTGAGAATATAAAATTGTTAAAAAATTTTTCTTAAAATTTATCTTAACATACTCTAAAATCAAGACTATAATATAATTAAATAAATACTCTTAATAATATTTTTAAGTAAAGAGAATTTTCTTAAATATTCTTCTTAGAAGAAGAATGTAGACGTTTCACATTTTATTCTAATCATTATATCAGACGTTGCAGTGGCAGTGTTCAGTGCAGTGTTTGTTTGGTATCGTACGTCGTGTTGTTTTTTCTACTGCATTTTATTAATGATGTTTTTCTTTTATATTGTTTTATTTATATTTATATGTATTTATATTTCTTGTTTCTTGTACTATTTATTTATGAATCACTTAAATTATTTTAATTTTGATATTTGGTCATAAAATTAACAGTATTACGTTTTTTTTACAATTTTTAATTTCTTTTATACATATTTAATTCCAACTTTTTATGTTCAAAGCTTTTTACAATTAACTAATATTTTACTTTTAAGTATTACTGTAAACAAAAATCTACGTAAATATATTTAAATTAATTGTGTTTTTTTAGAAGGTGTAATAAAAATGATTATATTTTTTTTCTGCACTTTAAATTATGTATGTATCAATTTCAAAGAATCTATTTATTAGATATTCTAAAATTAAGTTTAGAATATTCATAAAGTATTTAATTACACTTGTTCATGCATGTATTAATGCGGACAAGAGGGTTTCGCTCGTAAATTAATTTAAAATAAAAAATCGGATTTAGCAACAAGAAGCAAAGAAACACAAATACCAAACTACAACTCTTGTCTGACGAATAGAATTTTTCTGATTAAAATAACAAAGTTTTTAATACTAATATAACTTGGTTGATATAGTAGGTTTCAACTATTCACATTTAGTAAAGAAACTTACTAATGAGTTGACAATTGTTTCGTGAGAAATTCTGGGAAAATTTAAATAATAATATAATTATTTGAAGATAAAACATTCAACCAAAAATCCAACGAAACGTCGTTCCTCAGCGCAGGAAAATGAGCCACACAAATATGTTTACACGACAGATAACCACACAGGACATGCATTAAAGACTTATTCTCTGATCTACAGAATTTACACAACGAGTCTAAGCTAAAACGATAAACTTTCTTTTTATCAAAGATAATCCTGCAAACGTGAATATTAATCAGCCTAGTTTAAGCAAGTAGTTTTTTGAAAGATAGAGGAAACTTCATGCGCACGTACGACTGCGGGCTAGTACCAAGCGAAAGACACGGATATAATTGCAAACTCCTGGAGCGCGCGTAGGACGACATATCTCTTTCCCTTAAAAAAAGCTCATATTTATCAAGAAGTAATTTTATATCAATCGAGTCTGCCTCGAGACACATATCCAGCCACGAGCCCGCCAAACCACAATCCACAAAAAATTTTCTTATTTAACAAAACCAGTTAAATTTCGCAAAAGGATCCTTCAAAGCTAAGGACTTGAGTCTTTCAAGACACAATTTCGGAAATCTAAAAGCTTCCATTTCAGCAATTCTATTAAGCCAAGAAAGAACCTTCTTGAATAGTGAAAGCGCGATATGTGAAGAGCTCGTTTCTAGTCTGATATCGTAGTTCGGCGTGCTTATAGGCTAAAGTGTCCGTTAAAAACGACATTTTGGAATTTTGTCCATTTCCGGGTCTCATTTTGTCACAAATTGAAAAAAATTAGATACGTATTTTTTTATTTTTTTTTAAATGAATATTTAGTGGTGCCTGTAGGCTATTGAAATTTTGCATGTATTTTGCATGGGAAAAAAACTTTTTTTCGTAGATTTCCTTTAAAATCGTTAAAAATTAATATTATTTGACTGGACTACTCTGTTTCTCTTCATAAATGTTCAAAGTATAATAAACCATTTTTAACATATGAAATTTGTTAAGTTAACTATTTTTTACAGGACCAAAAAGTTGATAAAAAAACCAAAATAGGTTATTATTGGTAAAAAATATTAATTCTAAAAAAATGAGAAATTTAAACTGCTAATCATGGTTTCTAATGTCTTTGATGTCACTGATGACAAATCTGAATTTAAAATGGCGGATCCAATATGGCGGCCATGCAAATTTTAAAATTAATTAATTTTTATGAAACTTCGTATCAAGGTGTTTTTGGGGTCCCTAGTTACAAATCTAAGTTAAAAATTTAAACACGACCTCGCTGCTAATCAGAAATTAGAAGGTTAGTATTTATTAGCTAGATAAGGTTCATTCACCAATTAGATGATACGATTTTATATATATTTTGACTCGATCCTCCTTTGTTACACTTTCTACATAGTAAAAATTAGAAAATTACATGTTCTGTTACACGTCAATAGTTACACTCAGGAAAAAGGGTACATAAAGTATGCTTCATTAGTTCACTTTAACTAATCGATTTATTAGAAATATTACTATTTAAATCAGAGATCGACTTTTTGTTATCAAAATAGTTATTTCTAATTAACTTAAATTTAGATAGAACTTTCACAAAAATTTTGTTGGCTAATGGGATAAGATATTCCATAATTAAGTTTAATAAAAGTTATTAATTTTTTAAATATTATGCCAGCCGTATTAGATCCGGCACCTTTAATTTTTGAAATCTGACTTTAGATTTGTAATCAGAGACCCCCAAAACCGCTTGATACGAAGTTTCCTAGAAATTAATTAATTTTAAAATTTTCAGTTTAAATTTTTAATTTTTTTTAGAATTAATATTTTTGGCCAATAATAACCTATTTTGGTTTTTTTTGTCAACTTTTGGGTCCTGTAAAAAATAGTTAACTTAACAAATTTCATATGTTAAAAATTGTATATTATTTTTTGAACATTTATGAAAAGAAGCAGAGAAGTCCAGTCAAAAAATATTAATTTTCAACGATTTTACAGGAAATCTACAAAAAAAGTTTTTTCTTATGCAAAATACATGAAAAATTTCAATAGCCTACAGGCACCACTAAATATTAATTAAAAAAAAAATAAAAAAATACGTATCTAATTTTTTTCAAT